AAGTTTCATATCTTGGATCTTGCCATGGCAGCTAGTGTAACATTCAACATGCAACATTCAATTCTTAAAGCATTTTTAAGTCAATAACTTATAACTTGGCAGCATTTTATCTGAATGAGAGATCTCATAACAAGAGGTGGAATTAGTACAAAGTGTTGAAAAGTACAAAAAATAAAGGTACCATTGTGTTTAAACCGACACTGTGCTGGTACCCAGGAACAGGATTGTACAGCATACACCTGTCCCCGTGCAATTAAACAGGTTTAGTCATCAGACCCAAACACATGACTTCTCCACCATTTGTCCAAACAAGCTACACTGTTATTTGACATGCTGTTCAGTACATCCTTATGTCTGCTCAGAAGCAAACATTAAAAGACTTTATAGTATACCCTGAAGGCAGACACATTATATGCTCTGTGTACACGCAGCCCTCTCCCCTGGTCAGAACGCATCTCCTCCGAAGACTGGACCGTGCTGCAGCACAGTGCATTACAGCCCAGTGAATGAACATCGTCTTCACATAGGGGAATCATGGTGACAGAGATGCACAGACTCACAGGCCCTATGGAGGCAGCTGGGCAGGCACACACAGAACCCACCAGAAGAGAGAAGTGACTCAACACATCAAGGACTTCAAATGACTTTTCTACAACTTAATTCTCATTTCTCAGTCCACACAACTCCAACACTGTTAACACAATTTAACTCTCAACTGCACAAGTTTCAAAACAACTGAGAGTGAGTGCAGCAGGAGCTGACAGCCCCAGACTGAGGAGAGTAACTGTAATGTGCCATCATGAGCGGCTCGGCGTGAAAGAGGAGGAGCAGGAAACAGCAGAACGTCTCTCGTATTTGAAACAGGAGCGGATAAGTCAGGCTGCTTTTATGTTGATTTGCAGAACAGGAAGAGAAACAACCCTGTGAGATTCCACTAGAGGAAGTTGTCATTTTTTTTCTTGACAGAAACCAGAGTGAAAGAAAGATGCAGCAACCTGTATAATTTACTAAGGATGGTAATCGTCTAATGATTGATGGCAGCAATGTCAGACGCCCTTGTGACTGTATCAGTGACAGAAAACAAAACACTTTTCAAGATGCCAGAAGGTTTTTGCATTTACACTTTTGGAGAACAAGCTCATGTAATAGACAAATCAATAACAAGAATTAAAATGAGCCAGTGAAGTCAACAGAAGCTCAGTGGAGCTTGTGTGCAGAGTGTACTAACAGATGGCAAGGCTGAGAGGTTTATTATAAGTGGACATCATTGCTGAAAACTTATCTCTCTCATTCTGGCTGCAAGGCAACATATAGTATGCATGTAAGACTGGACACTGTAACACGATGATGCAATGACATGCACCATTGTTTAACCTTCATGTGTTTCGCATTTGTACCCCTCTCCTGGAGGGAGCGTCAAGTGGCTCTCTTCAGCTGTGCAGGGTGATTTAAAGAGTACTTTATTTAACATGCTTTGATTAATAATTCAATTATACTTTAATATTTTAGAGTCTGAAGGACTTCATTTCTGACAAAGTCATTTCTGAGATTATAAACCACAAAATTCCCCTAAAATAGAAGAGGAATCAATAAATTAACATCTCCTGTGAAAAGCCCTTCTTCCCTCGACACTCCTTCACTTGAGTGTCAGCTCTTGTGAAAATTGCTGTCAAGGTTGCCCAACGTCCCCACAAAAAAGTTGATAGCTCATGGAGGCTATGCGCCCTTTTACTTCCACCATCTAAAAATGAACGTGCTGCGCCTTTGAAATTGGGGTTGTGAGTGCACAGAACACAATCATCAAGCACCGCAAGCTGTAACAGCACAAACATTCTTTGTGCACCCACACACCCACAGAGCGTGTGTGTGACTGAGAAAGTGAGACACAGACAGTGAGGCCTGTGACTTCCTCTACTACCTCAAAACCAACTATGTCACAATGAAGGTGATAAACTACCCTGTAAATTGAGGTGCTTATTTGTTCTCAACAGTAAATGAACAGGATTCCTGTAGTGTGTGTCCATAAAAGAAACTGTAGCGGACCCATAAATGGAAGGTGTGAATAGAAGACGTGCTGCCTCCTTTCTGTAGCACAGACCACTACAAAGTAGCCTGTCCATCCATATGTGGCTGCTAACATCACTTTCTAGCATCTCAAAGAGGGATCAGAAACTCTGACGCTGTTCAGTGGGGTTTCTCTGTCACAGCACATAAAAGTACCACATAAAGTCAGGAAACCTAGACTTAACTCACCCGTGTTGACTTACAGCATGGCAATGAAAAACTATATGTTTTGTATTTCCCCATATTTTCTAAAGTTACAGCTATATGAGCCTCTTCTTCCAAAGACAAGAGACAAAATAACAAAATGTTGTAACAAAATGGAGTTTGTTCTCCAAACAGTGATACAGAGAAACTGTCACCACCATTTCAAAAAGTCTCCAAAACAGAAGATCGATATTTTGCAGGAAAGCAAATATCTGTACTGCTGAGAGCTTGGATTTACTCAGAAGAGTTTCACAGCTATAAAGAAACTGCCCCAAATCTTGAAACACAGTTTAGATGCACCAAATGCTATTTTGATGAGTTATGTGAGGACGAAAGACAACTGAATGCTGGGGTGCACATTAAAGTGTATTATTTTATGCAGCTGTAGACATTGGAATTGCACACAGCTTAAGAACATAAGAGGTGACAAGAACTTCTGTCAAAATTAGACAAGGAAATGTAAAAGTGAACTGGTGACTGGCTGACCAATACAAAGATTATTTATCTGCGCCTGGTGCGCGTGGTGTAGCCTGATCTAAAATAATAAGATCCACTTTGTTACAATGAGTAGAGAGGAGAAAAAGGACAGCTAGCCTACAGTTATACTTTAAAATTCTCTCAGTAAAATGTGTTATTAGTATTGTCAAACTGTTTGTTAAATTCCATTTGGTTGTGCCTTTGAAATAAAGGGTAGCCCAACTAGCTTATTGGTTTAAAGTTACTGCTTGTGTGTTTGTGTTATGGTACTGTTGCTATTAAAGACACATTCATGCTACAATGACAAAGGAAAAAACCCCATAACCAGGCCAAAGCATGAGTGCTGTTTCACCACATCTGCAGCCTCACTGCTATCTATAGAAGTAAAAAGGCAGGACACACTCATCATGTATTAAGTGTGGGGTTGAGAGGACAGCTAACAGCTAACAGACAGTTCTCAGATGTAAATGGAAACTGTGGTTAAACTCCCACATGCATCCAAGATATCCAGAGTCTGATGGAGTCCATGAAACCTCCCCGGTCCAATGGGGGAGTGTTATGCCAAAGTCAAACATGTCACTTCGTCTTTCCTGCATGCCAGCGTCTTCCCCTTCAGACACTTGAAGCAGTGCGTTGATGGTCATTTTCATCTCTTATCCCCCTCATTTCCAAACTGAGACAGGGACTGTATGTGCTCAGCTGCACAGTGGCAATGTGTTTGTTTTTGTGGACGTGTTGATTTAGGTTAATGATATTTCTGATAATGACATCCTATTAACCATTACCCAGAGTGAAATACAGTGCATGCATGTCAGTGGAAGCAAGGTAGTTGTACCACCAGCAAACAGCTTTGAATTAGACGCTCCCTGGAACAAAACACCAAGACTCACACAGTCTTTGCAGTCAACTACAGTGTCTGTGGTTCGTGAGCAGTGGTGTTAGCAGCCATACATCACTCTGCTATATCATGTACTACAGTAGCAAACAGACCAAAGCCAATTTAACACTACTTATTCCTTTTTGGCTTGTGGAGGAGAAGTCAGAGGATAACCCCGAAGCAGCCAGCCTCAAAATAGAAAAAGGACATTCCCTTCCTCCAGCAGTTATCTGCAACATGCTCACACGAGGCAGGAAGTTCACAGCTAAGAGCGAAAGAGATGTTATCTGTGGCAAGACGTTGCTTTTTTCCATGAAGTCATCACAAGTCCCTGGGTAAAGTGCCTGGCTGCAACAAAAGGGCTTCTGTTTGACTGGCATAATGTGCCACTCTACTCCACAGTTTGGCCACACATGCAAATGACAAGCCGGACGAAAATGTAATGATATCAGGTCCAAGTCAAACATGAAAATACTCATCAAACACCACCTGAGTGTAAAAGATGATAAAGACTTCAGTGGGCCCTTGGATGTAAGAGGCAGCTGCTGCATGATGCACACTGACACATACAGAAATTTTGACCCGAAAGAGACCCGAGTTTTACCTGCACTGGTACTGTTTTGACAGTCAGCGTCTTTGTAATCGTTATCCTTCTAAAATCTAATTTAAATGCCTGCATATCCTTCTGTGAATGTGTAATCTGATCTGAAAAGTATACACCATGTGGAGAACAACTGTTGAAAGTGAAAACAGGTTGTTCAAGATTTTCTGTTTCATTATCTTCACCACCTCATGTTCTTCCACTCCAGTAGACTATGCCTGCCACCTCTGCACTTCCTGATCCCTGCATGACAGCCAGGGATGTCTGCTCTCTCTCTCTCTCTCTCTCTCACTCACACTCACACACACACACACAGACACACACACAAACAAACTGTGTCAAGACTTGCTCATGAAAGGCTGCAGCTTTGTTTCCGATCAGAATAAAGCTTTTTTTTTTGGCAACTATATTTGACATAGTTTTGACACGTGACCTGACATAAGGCGACATCTGGGGATTAGCTTTAAAAAAAAGTCGTTCTGGTTGAATTATTCGATGAAAGTTTAATTAAATGTGTTTATTTTCATGCATATAGTCCCTGTCCGGTGTGATGTACGCTGAATAATTTCAACACAGTTATGTGCATCAATAAATGTGCCACTTACATTACCACTGACTGTGTGCCAGAGGAATATGATTTTTTACGCGCACGATATGTGCCACAGCAGCCTGAAATACAACGACAGTTGTTGGATTTCCTGGAAAAAGCATCGATTAAGCCTGCAGCACGCAGCAGCTATGAACTGAAGTGAAACAAGATAATATAAATCCACTCACCATTCGGTCCATATTTCTCCAAATTAACTTTGACTTGTTCCAGAGTCAGCCCAGTGTTTTCGTTCACACCGAAGTTGTCTAAAACTTCACTAGCCGATTTAATGTGCGCTTTTTCCATCTTGGTGGACTGGGCTTATATGATCAGATCGAAATACATGTAGGTAAGTATCATCTACTGAGGCAATCGGATTGTGTGCTGGGGGTGTGACAGACAGCAATAGTTTCCACCGATGGACATTCAAGGCTCGGTCGGTCTGCTCGGTCACCTGTCCCCCCAGAACAAAACCTCCGGATCCACAGCAAAGACAACGTTGTTGCTCTCTTGATCGACTGCCGCTGCTACTCCTGTTCTGTGTGAAGGTGTGCGGTGTCTGTGCCGGGGCGGACCGCCTCTTGCTGGTGAGCACTCCCTCCTGCGCGCCCATTGGCTGCAGGTACCTGAGCAGAGGGTTCCGCTGCCTCAAGCAAACATTTGAAACTCTCTCAAAACAGGACACGGAAAGCATTGTTTATCCTCGTGTGTGTGTGTGTGTGTGTGTGTCACAGTGCAAGTTATAAAGGATATTGGGTTTATCATTATTGCTCCTTATGGGGAAGTCGTTTGTAGATTTCAACACAGCATTTTGGACTGCTGCCGTTTCTGTGAGACCAGTGCACGGGACTGCATGTACTGCACAGCATCATAAGTAACTGTTGGGCCAGTGTTACAAAGATGAGCTGTTAATCCAGTCTATTAGGCTTTAGTTTTGTTCTGAAACTAGTCCAGTTCAAATCAGACAAAATTTAAACAGAAAGACAACAAAGACTGCAACCCTATTCTTTAATGTGAGCTTGCCCTTAAAACTGACAACAAAAACGACAGTATGGCTTGTAATTCATGGTTTGCTGTAGAGTCAGCAATGAAATTAAGTTTTTGAAGATGACACATTACACTTAAAATGTGTATTTTTGTGCATTTCTTTCACATACCAAAGAATTTTCTTAGAAAACAGAACAAGAATGGATGCAGAAGGGGCAGCCCAAGTTTATTGTGTTCTAATGTCAATTAACTGTGGTATTTGTATACTGAAAGAAAAGAAAGAGAAGACATGAGCTCCATACAGTAGTGGGGAACCTACAAACAGCAGCTAATTAGAACAAGGACTCAGACATTTGTGGAGAGGAGGCTTGTAGTCTGTGTTAGTTGTCAAGATTAGAGGAAGTTTCTGTTCTGTTTTGCAGTCAATACTTTTCTTGAGCTTGGCTCCATTGGGCAGGGCAGAGGCATCAAAAACACATGGAAATAACCCTGAGGTAGGGGAGAACGAAGTAAGCTGAGCCAGTGGGTAAGATGAGCCACCTTTTGTATCCAGGCAACCACACACAAAATTAACCATAAAATCAGATTAAGAAAGAATAGTTAATTTCACTGAATCTGTGACAGAGAAGAGCACATGGAAAAACATGGTACGTGAAAAAGATTTTGGTCATGTCAAGTGAATTCGTCATGGTTAAGATGTCATCAGACTTGTATTTAAATGGGAAAAGATAAGATTTGGGACACCACCACATAATAGATTGAAGCTGTCTATGCTTCAACATTTGGTCATAGAGTTAGTGCACTGTAGCTGTGGATCTGAGTCTCCTCAAAATGGAGGTTGTGTGGTAAAACATGTTACTATAACCTTGGGGCAAGTTGAGCCAAGTGCTTAACTTACCTCAGTCAAAATCACATTCATAAAATCTTAAAATGTGGCTCAGTTAATGAATATATGTATTCAAGTGTTATTTCTTGTGGCAAAGGAGGTTGATCACAGTGTCACTGGTTTAGTTGGTAAATACTGGGCAAATACAAAATGGCATGATGACAAAAAATTAAGGGGTTACCCAAGTTATTACTGCTCATCCTGATAAGAACTTGAATATCTATGTAAAATTTCATGACAGTCCACCAACAGGCACCAACACAGCTCAACTTACCTCTACAGTGGGGCAAGTTCGGCCATAGGACCAACTTTTTTGGATGAGTCATACTAAAACTGTATTAGTTTAATGATATGTTTTGATGTCTGTAGATGTAGACCAACCTTAAGTATATATAGCAATTGTTGTGCGACAGCGGGGAGTTTTTCCTCCCCACTGTCACCAAGTGCTTGCTCAAGAGGGATTTGTTGGGTTTTCCCTATGTAATAATATTGATAACAGTAAGGTCTAGACTTTACTCTGTAAAGTGTCCTGAGATGACTTTGTTGTGATTTGGCGCTATACAAATAAAATTTGATTTGATTTGATTTGCTTTTGCCATAGAATCATGATATGTAAAAACCACCATTGTCCCCTACTCAAGTTTTAACTATTATCATATTTATTTACAGGCTACAGCACTTTTAGGCATATTTCAGACATTAAACATTCATAAAAGTAAAAGCAGTAAAATAAGCTATGTAAAACTACAAAATGCATGCAGCATAATACAAAAACAATAAAATGTAGTGATGTTGTTTTGTCACTGGTGAAATGAGCCGGACATTTTGAGCTGCACATTAGCAGCCAAACATAACATCTCAAACTCTGACAGCTGTGTTCCTTGTTCTTGCAGTGTAGCCAGTCTGTTCTCAAGGAGACATGGAAAGAGTATCACTCTTCCATTCGTGGCTGTTCAAGCACTGAGAAACAGCCTTGAAGTGCTCAGGACCCAGACTGAACACCACTACCTCAGTGGGTGTTTGCCACTCATACTGTAGGCTGAATTATCATACATGGCAATAGTTGATTATTAATATTAATGCAGTAGTGAATATATGTACAGTATATGTTGTATTTTATTGTTGTAGCTGATCCAGGTTCAGTTTATTTTATAGTTTGGTAACTTAGTCCAATGGTTCCTTACATAGGGATTGAGCCCCTCCAGAATGTCACCAGATAAATCAAAGGGCTTGTAGGATGAATAATGGGAAAGGAACTAAAAATGAACTAATTCTGGGACAGCAATTTATAGCTATTTAGAGAAATATATGTGAATATTGCCTTTTGTGAAAAACAAGACAGTTTGACCTCATGGGGCCTCAGTTATTCAAATAAAACAATCAGAGAACATTAGAGGAGACTATCTCTTTAGCTGAATTATTAACTCAAGGACTCATCCAAAATATGATAGACACTCCTTTGCAGTCTTGAATTGTATTTGATCAGCTTTTCAAGTTATTTTTTCATGAAAAAATTAAATCTGAAAAGTACCTTGTAACTACAAAACTATAGTGGAGTATGGGTCGTCCGCCCAGCTCACCCTTGTGGTCCCTACGTCCCGTTATAAAAAATGGAGAGGTCGGGCCTTTGCCGTGTACGGCCCGGTATTGTGGAACGCTCTGCCATTAGATTTACGCTCCATAACTGAATTAGTTCCGTTTAAATCGGCACTGAAAACATATTTTTTTAAACAAGCTTTTTATGCTTAATCTCTCTAAGGCTCCACTTGGCTTCTATTTTTGTAGCTTTACTCTAGCTTATCTGAGGGGTCTCACCCTGGACAGGGATTACGATAT